TATACACTGATTTCGTATAAAGTCGATTGATTAGCAGGGATTTAATATAAATATCAACGACCTACCCTTATTCCGGGTAACCGTAACTGTCGGCCGTGATGTTTGCTGTGTTTGTTGCGCTTGTGTAGAAGGGCTTATATATTTGTGCATACTGATTTTTGGTGTCTAAAAGTGCTGTATTTGGAATCTACAGGCCTTTCGGTTTGTGAAGATGTCTTACTTTTGAAGATTCGAGGATTTTTGACCGAGTTACAAGGCATTTTAAGGATTCATGCGTGTTTAGGGAGCTCATTTGCATATGACTTTGGAAGTTTTGGCCTGTATTCTTTTACATCGACTTGGTAAAGTACTTTTGTTTTGATTATTTAGTTTCTATACATCTTTTACTATCTGTATAGTGAATTTGATTCAATTTCATGGCCTATTTTTAAAGTTATTTGTATTTGAAAATTTGATACTACGTTTTGTTTACGTTTGAATCTTTGTGATTTTGCACCGCGGGCTTGTCAACTTTTAGCCAACTGGAAAATATTGAAAATTCGGATTTTTAAATGTTATGGCAGGAGAGACTTATATATAAGTTGGTGCATTGATTATATATGTTTTTCAGCCCGTTGGACAATTTTTGGATTTTTTCGCATGTAAGATTGATTTTATATTTTACTATGAATGCTTTTGAGATTTGAGGTGTTTTTAAGTATTTTTGATTATTTTAATTTGTAAATCTCAATATTTTCAGCTTTTAAGGCGTTTTTAGTTTTATTTACTCCTGATATTTATAAAATTGGATTGTTCGGATGCTAAAGCTGGATGGATTTGATTGTGCTGTAAAAACATTTTTGATGAGTTTTGCAACCATCTTAATTTTGTAGAATGTATATGTTTTGTGTGTGTTTCTGTGATACAAACCACTCTGTATTTTACTGAATTTTATTGTACATATGAGAGTTCTTGTCATTTTATCTAACTTTAAATTGTAATTATTGTAAATGTTACATTTGTATATATGTTTTTATTCTGAAAATTTTAATACGGCCCCGTCGCAGTTATATTAGTGAATAATAGAGTGAACTTTTCGTGATTTTTGTGATGAGTCAACTGAAGAGTAATAGGGAGAGTAAACTTGTGGAAGCTGAGGGAGAGACTTTGGAGAGTTCGGATGAAATAAAAGAAATTATGGACTGTGGTAATGATAGACCTAACGATGAAGGAAAAATTGAGAGTGTACTCGTTGTTGTTAGATCATTATATGATTTTGTAGACAAGTTAAAAGCTAGACGAGTCTCACGAGAAATTACCGATGGCCTAGCTAGAGGTATAGATAGAGTTTTGGATTTGCTTGTCTCACAGAATTTAAAGACTATTGAAGAGGACATGGTGCAATCAAGAACCAATATTTTATTTGATATTAAACAGGATATAGATGAAATTAAGGTTATTTTGCAGAAAGATCGAGATACATGTGAAATGAGGGATAGAAAGAATAAAGTATTGGATGTAAATGATTGGAGAGAAAATGAATTAATAGTTAAACCAGCTGCGAATGGCGTTGATGTATACGAGGAGTTAATTGCTAATGTTAGACCAGAGGATGTTGATATAAAAATAATGAGCTCCCATACGAGAAAGAATGGTGATTTGGTGATGAGGTTTAAAGATAGCAGAGAAGTAGACACGGTACAAAATGTTATTGAATCCAGAAAAAATTTAAGGGATAAACTTTATACAAGGAAGAAAAGGTTTATACAACCGAAGATTATTGTATATGGCGTATGCAATTTAATAGATGATAAGGAGATTATGGATAAAATGAAGGAGGAGGAGTGCGTTTGTGATGGAAGTTGTGTTCGTCCTCTCTTTAGACAAAAATGTAAAGAGTCCGACGAGATTTCTCATCGCGTTTTCCGTGTAGACCCTCGATGTCAAGGTGTTGTCCTGGAAGACTGCAGAGTTCGTATAGGTTGGAAGGCATATTCGGCTAAGCTCTATCTTAATCCGAAGAGGTGTCTGCGTTGCTTTCGATTCGGACATACTACCAAAAATTGTAAAAATGAAATTGTATGTTTTAGATGTTCTGAACCACATGAATTTAAAAAATGTAAAATGGATGTAGAGATTTGTGTAAACTGTAAGAACTCTAACTCGAAATATGGTACTCATTTGGATGTTCATCACCATGTTTTATCACGAGATTGTGAACTATACAAACGTGAAGTTAGATTTATTTCAGAACATATACGTTTAGTGGAATGATTTATTTTGGGTTTTAAGGGTTAGAACTGCGATTGGGCTGTTTTATTATATTTTATACTGATCATTAATCTTATGGTGTATAATTTTTTGTTTTTTATTATTGGCTATTGTACTGTTCCCTTGATTATGAAAGTGCTAAATATAAACTTGAATCACTGTGCGGTGGGCAGCTTGCCAGTTGGCTGCTGTTGAGGATATTTTGGAACAGAAGTTTGACTTGATAACTGTCCAGGAGCCCTATTATGTAAATACAGAAATCCCACATTTAAAAAAGGGTTGGAGAGCGGTGCATGATGTAAGGGGAAGATCTGCCATAATTGTTACCAAAGAAGAGATTGAATTTATTATAGATTATAAAACAAATGAGATAGTAGCCATCTCCTTGAGAATGGAGAACTTTACAATGGGTGTTGTGTCGGTATACTTCTCCCCTGCGGAAAACTTGAATTTACATTTGACAAGACTTGAAGACGTTTTGAACAAGTATACATTTTATTTTATTGCTGGAGATTTTAATTCGAAACATTTTAATTGGGGTTCTAGGACTGTGGATGATAGGGTGTTTTAACCATGGATTTTTTTAATACAGAATAATATTATTTTATATAATCAATCAGACTCATTACCAACTTTTGTTTCCGCAGTAGGGAAAGGTTGGACAGACTTGATTCTCAGTTCTGCCTCTCTCTCCCCGTTTCGTATTGAACTCAAGATACATGAAGAGGAGAGTCTTAGCGACCATAGATATGTTGCTGTTGATATTGAAGATGTTCAACCTGTGAGAAATGAGAGTACTGTTTTTACAAAAAAATCTTGTTAGAATAAATAAATTTTGTAAAAAACTTAAACTGGATATGGAATTAATGACGGATAGACTGAGATCAATAGATGAAAATAATTTGGAGAATTTTGTGGATGACTTTGAAAGGTTGATTGTCCAGAGGGCTAAGAGGTTATACGTGGAAATAAGGTCAAGAAAAACTATTGGTGGAATACGAGTTTGCAAAAAATGAAGCGACGGACGAGAGCATTGAGAAAGAGTTTTCAGTTCAGAGATATTGATGAAGAAACAAGAAATAAGAGAAAAGTTTTATAATAAAGAGAGATGGCACTTTATAGAAAGCAGATTAAGAAGAGTAAATATGAGAGTAAAATCAAACATTTTTTGGAAAATAAGGTATATCATGACTGTTACTTTCGTTTTGCCCAGGGAAAGCGTCGGCTACCACAGATAATAAGTAGAGTCCAGGAGGGTGAACATAAGGAATACACTGAGGTGATTGAGGAATATTTTAATAAGAATTTTGACTGTGGTGAGTTTGAGGATGGGTATTATTGATCATGAATTGTTAAAATTTTCAAATTGTTGTGCTGATGATCTGCCTTTTACTTCTAATGAGATCGGATATGTAATTAATAAACTAAGAAATAAAAGTGCTCCTGGACTGGACAACATTTCTGCAGTGGTTGTGAAGTGCCTTTATAAGTATTACGAAGAGTTTTTTGTTTTATTATATAATACATGTTTCCGCTTGTTGGTTTTCCCGAGGGCGTGGAAAATATCAAGAATTATATTTATACCGAAAAATGAACATGCGGTTAGACCAATTTGCTTGTTAAAATTTTTTAGTAAGGTCCTGGATAGACTTCTCACCAATAGATTGTATCATTTTTTCTACAGAGAAAATTTTATTTCGGATAGACAGTTTGGCTTTGTCGCAGGCAGATCAACCAATGATGCTTTGTATAAATTGATCAATATTATTTCTGAGAAAAAAAGAGATTATCATGTAACTGTTGTCTCATTTGATATTTCAAAGGCCTTTGACTCCATTATATGGTCATCGCTGCTCTCCACCCTCGTGAATTTTAAGATTCCTTGCAATATATTAAAAATTTTTGTAGCTACTTTCACAATAGGAAGGTTGTTTATTCATATGGTGGGGATTCTGAAGTGGTTAAATCAGTTTATAAAGGTTGCCCACAGGGATCCTCGAGTGCAGTAATTTACAACTTGCTGAATACGAGTCTTCCCGAGGGTGTTGAAATCATCTGTTATGCAGATGACATACTTTGTGTGGTTTACGATGTGTCTCTTGAAAAATTAGAAAAAAGATTTACATTGGTGTGTGATGTTCTTGAGAGATGGGCTATAACAGAAAGACTCATCTTCAACTTACAAAAGACATCTTTTTTGTTTTTCCCAAATGGGGGGAAAAAGACTAGACCTCCCAAGATTACGATTCCAGGGAACATTATTAAAAAAGAGTCGAACAACTCAAATACTTGGGAGTCATTATAGATGATAAACTGAATTTCGAGTCACACTTCAAGGAAATTCAAAGGAGAACAGATTCAATACTCTTATTTTATAAGAGAAATTTTCCAGCGGGTGTCATCGACTTTAAGAGAGATATTATTAGAACTATTTATAGAGTAGTTGTTGTTCCTATTGTGTTATACGGAATTGGTTGTTGAGAATCAGGAATAAGTTATTGACGATTCAGCGGCCCTGGCTGCTGTCACTGGCTAGGTGTTTTAGGACAACTCCAACTGAAACTGCCTGTGTATTGGCCGGCACGCCGCCCCTCTCGATTTTTTATAAGTTCTTTTATGATAAATTTTTGTTATCTACATGTAAGAGAGATTTTATGTATTATGGTGATTATTTAGCTTGTTGTACTGCATTTTATAATGTTAATCCTTACTGCATACACCCAGCCAAGAGAATGAGCATTAATTATGAAATGAACTTTGATTGTTTTGGTGAACTTGATATTTTCACTGATGGTTCTAGGTTTGGGGAAAGTGTTGGCCTATCTTTTGTTGTTTACTATTATGGTATAGAAATTGATTATTCAAAGATAAAGTTAGAAAAATTTAATTCTGTGTTTCAGGCTGAACTTGCTGCTATTTATTTTGCTATGAAATGGATTAAGAAAAACCTATCTAAGAGTTATAGTATTGTAGTTTATAGTGATTGTTTATCTGGATTACAGGCCTTGAAAAGCTACGATTGTAATAACTCTTTAGTTATGGATATTAAGTGTTTATATAAAGAAATTGAAGGTTTGCATAATATTAAATTTAGATGGGTTAAGTCCCATGTGGGTATTGAAGGTAACGAGAGGGCCGACTCTGTTGGCCAAAGAGGCGACTTTGGATGTTTCCAGGGAGTGTTCCATTGTCCAGCCTTCAAGAAAAATGGTTATTACTAGAATCAAACAGTATTATATTGATTTGTGGTATGATAATTGGAATAATTCGAATAGAAGAAAAGAATATGCCTATTATTTAAAACCTATGTTTAATAAAAGTATTTCTTGTCATTTGGATTTTAATCAAATTGTTACTGGACATGGGCGCTTCCCGGTGTATCTTAAACCCTCCACGCAAGGTATATATGCGTTCGAAAATAATGGCTCTCATAGATGCGTCCAAATAAGGCAAGGCAGCATATATACGTAAATAAATTTGGCACGAAACGGCAAAGCAGCATATATACGGCCTGTCTCAGAATGCCCTCCCCTCACTGCTCTTAATGTAAACTGACAGGTGATAATTTTTCTCTGCGGGAGGTAATTGAGGAGAGGAAACTATCTATTCGCTAGGGGCAAATGGGTTTTATCGTTAGGTTTTGAATAACAGTTCGAAATAAATAGCTCGTTCAAAACTTCCAGCTGTTCTGTGCTTATACCAGCTATAGTAAACTTAAATGTTTATATATAAATGTAAAGAGAATTTTCATTTTCCAGCCTAATTATTCTCCAAATTTTAGATGTAGTTTGGCAAAATGTAATTGGAATTAAAATTAAAATTGCAAGAAACTGAAACAATATTTTGAAATATGTGATTTCAATTATATTGCAATTGTAATTAGCTTCGCAATTACAATTAGAAAGTAAGTACTTTTTAAATGCAACAATAATGTATGTAATTGCATTTTAATTCTTAAGTCTTACAATTACAATGCAATGATAATCACAAACATTATAATTATATAATCTAATTACAATTAAAAATTTTATTGCATCTAATCACAACTACGGTAATATTAGCTAATTATAACGTAATTTTAACTGCAATTGCAGTTGGTAATTATAACTACGTAATTAGGAAAGTAATTGTCTCTGATAATTAGAATTATTTAACATAGTGAAATTATGATTATAATTGTAATTCTAAGTGTAGTATGCAATTGTAATAAAATTATGCAATTACTAAGTAGTTATAGTTAAAAAGTAGCTGTTTTTTTAATTACAATTACAATTTACGTAATTTCATTTAAATTACAATTACTCTATATTTGTGAAATCCAATTTCATATTCAATGCAACTGCAATCATATAATCTAATTACAATTAGACTGTCATTGTAACTCCAGTAAGTAATTATAATAATGTAATTAGGATAGCAATTGTTTCTGATAAAAGCAGTTACGTAGCCCAGGAAAATCATGATCTTAATTGCAAATGTAATTGCAGAATGCAATTGAAAACACATAGTAATTGGAATAATATTATGCAATTATCTTGCAATTACAATGTAACAATTTTTAATTACATATACAATTTACTCATATGCATTTTAATTATAATTGCATTTTAATTGTGAAATCTAATTGAATAAACAGTATAACTGTAATTATATAATCTAATAAAAATTACAATGCAATTGTAATGACCTCTTAATTAAAATTGCGCAGCAGATGATTGTAACTATTTAATCAGAAAAACAACTGCCCCTTATAATTTCAGTGACATAGGCTAAGGAAATCGTGATAATTTTTGAAAATTACAGTCAATAATATTATATTCGAAATGTTTCTGCATTTTGGATAATGAGTTTTTAAATAATACAACGGGATAATCACCTATAAGAAAAATATTAATATTTTCTGTCATGTCTTCTGAATCATCTTACATATATTGTAGTTTGTGGTACCAGCATAAATAGGAGTTTATTTAAAGGAAATATTTTATATAGACCGAAATGCACATAACGTTAGTAAGCAAATATGTATGTTTATGATCTTCGATATACATGTGAACTTAAATTACAAGATTAAGGGAAAGCAAGCAAAGAGTTTATACCAGTGCAAAGGGATGTTTTCGCAAAGGAATTTGTTACGGGACGCTTGTCTGTTTTACATTACACAGAAATAAATTATAAAAATTACATTTATCCTTTTCTTTTCAGAAAGGTTTGGTTTGGTTTATTTAATTATGGCAAAGCACACTAGGGCTATCTGCCTATGAGGAGGGATGCCTTCGTGGAGGACTTTCTAAGGGAAACTGGCTCGTATACATGTTACACATGGGAAAAAACCACGAAAACAACAGCCAGCCCGTTCGCGAGATTCGAACCTCGGACCGAACTACCAGTGTTCAGCGACTTTACCGCTCGGCCGCTGGTGGGTCTCTTTTCAGAAAGGAGATCATCAAGGACTAAACTAAGCCTCATAATTTATCCAACCTATTGCTTTAACTGGTAAAAAAGGATTCTGATCAGCAATCAGTATGCTTAATTGCTGTGTGTATTAGACATTTTACTAAATCCATTTTATTATGAATTACCGCCCAGACAGTAAAGCGGTTCGTGACTCTGGTTGCCGTACCGAAGAGCCTGGGTTCGAATCCCGGAATAGGGCATGAATGTAATTTCTTTCGTTCGTCTCTTCATAGGTGGCAACGCTGGTCCACGTATTAGTTCCCTCCTTAATAACATGACCGGCCTTAGTAGTGATCAATGTCTATAAACGGCTACTACCTGCCATTGGAAAAAAAAAATTTACGAATTGGTCTTTTATTCAACATAACATACATTTTCCATAAATAGTTAAAATGCATTATTCAGTTACTTGCATGAACTTGCATGAACTATTTTCCATCATTGTTTCACGTAAGAACAAATAAAAGTACAATTTTCTTATGCACCTGTGATTGTCATATTATTTGGATTACTGTAAAGACTGCAAAGATGCTTCTGTGGAGGACTTTCTAAGGGAAACTGGCTCATGTTCACATCACCCGTTAATAAAAGCAGAAAAAAAGATCTTTACTTAATTGAATGCAACGAAACGTTTAAGAAGAATGATGTACTCATAGAGAACTTTCTAAAATAAAATGATTTGTATTCATGTTACACATAAGGAAATCCACGGAGCTATCTAAACATTTAGATTGTTTGCCAAAATGGACATCCGATTTGAACTAGTAGTATTCAAAAGACGACTTATTACTCTGCTGAGCGAAAAATCTAATTGCTTTTGAAGTTATATTGTAATTCGAACAATCATTGTATTACAATTGTTATTATTATTTTTTCCCCAATGGCAGATTGTGAACAGTTACAGTGAAACACAGTCCATTAGTCTATACAAGGCCAGAAGTTGCAGTCACTTTATTATGGAGGCATCTAATATGTGGGCCATCATCGCCTCCTATGAAAGGACGAACAGTTAAAGCCATGCCTTCTCCGGGATTCGAACCCAGGCCCTTCGGTATCGCAGTCAGGCTTCCCTAACCACTATACCATCTGGGCGGCACAATTACAATTATAACTGCATTAGTTGTTGTAGTTTAACTACAATGAATTAACCAGCTTTTCTCAGTCAATAACAGATAGCTTAAACTTTAAAGATAAATGGAAGGTCTTATAATTTGTCGAATGGCAATATTCTAAGAAAGTGTAGTCTCCAGGATGGTCGAAGTTTAATTACAGTCTTACATTTCGCATACTCGCAGCACTTGCCCAAAGGCTGTTCCAAGATTATTTCTGTTCACCTCATCCATTAATTTTGGAGACAGAATCATGTCTAGAGACATTTTTTTCTGAGGACAGTATTTTATATAATAGAAAAAAAAAAATAATAATAATGCGTCTCCCTCAAGGTGCAGGAAACAACGAGTACTGATAAATTTAATTGAAATTACAATTATAATTCTAGTTAATACAAATACAATGTTACTTTAACGGTTAGAATTACATTATAGTTCTAATGGCAAAAATATCAAATGAGTGTTATAGATTAGTATACTTTTACTTATCACAATATTAAACTTTTAATACCGTTTTATTTTATTTAGCTTATCACAATATTGAGCTTTTTAATACCGTCGGTACTGAAAAAATGTTTTACTACTGTCATGAAATGTATATTCGATAATAGTTTCTCATTGATGTTTTCTCTTATATATTTTTCTGCATAATTCATAAATGTTTGCAATGGAAATAATTCTGAGGCTTTTATAATACTTCTAAATTTTCATGAAATAAAGTTCCATTAAGGTTTACTTGAAGGAGACTCTCAGTGCAAGCACTCGAAAAGAAGTTATGCTACATTTACATATTATGAAACGGTTGAATGTACAGTATTTACTTGTAACAGCGGTGCTCAATATATCGCGTTTTCTGAAAGAATGCATATGTTGCCTAAAATCGAATTTAAATCACTATAATCAGAATAATTGGCTAAAGTATTAAATTGTAATTTTTACAGCATCAATCGAATTAGTGGATTTTATTGAAGATAAAAATGTGTTGATATTGACAAGCTATATTAGTTTTTGTACTATAATGAATGCTAGCTAGTAGCTATATGAATATATGAATGTACTATAATGAATGCTACCTAGTAGATACTCTAGTTAATAGCTAGAGTAAAACTCAGGATATGGTAACATTAAATAAATAAATAAATTAAATTAAAAAAAAAAAAAGAAGAAGAAGCAGAAAACGAAAGCGAAAAGGAACTGAATACATTCGGAAAGAGAAGGCTTACTATGGTGAAACATTAGAAAACGTGTAGACAAAGTGTTAATACTATATGTGAGAAAATACTAAGGACAAATTGAAATACATCATAGCTACGTTTGGTGCTTTCTATATTATTTGTATCAATATTAATATAAGTACCGAAAAATACTTAAAAAATAGGTATTTTCGAAAACTTTAAAGGAACAAAATTGCAGTCTGAAAATTTATAGCAGCGGAACTTTTGAAGTAATTTTCATGCCTTCTGAAGGTCGCCATGAACATAACAATTTATAACTGTCAGCTTTTACAACTAGGAATCAGATAAACTCTATTGTTGTTTGGTAAACCGGACTGTCTAGTAATGTTTTCGGTACTGTCTAGTTTCCGGGAATGGCGATGTATGCAAGCTTTTTCCTCTTTCTGCCCTAAGAATAAACAGCTCATAGGGGAATTCTGAAAA